GGGTGTTGCTTTGTGGTTGCTAGGGTGCCCGGGGTGGTTGCTAGGGTGTTGCTATGCGGTTGCTAGGGTGCCTGGGTGGTTGTTAAGGTGTTGTTATGCAGTTGCTAGGGTACTCTAGGTAGTTGCTAAGGTGTTGCTATGCAGTTGCTAAGGTACCTGGGTCGGTTGCTAGGGTGTTGCTATGCAGTTGCTAGGGGTGCTCGGGTGGTTGCTATGGTGTTGCTATGTGGTTGCTAGGGTACCCAGGATGGTTTCTAGAGTCTTACTATGCAGTTGCTAGGGTGTCAGGGCAAGTTGCTAGGGTGTTGCTTTGTGGTTGCTAGGGTACTCTGGGTGGTTGCTAAGATGTTGGTATGCCGTTGCTAGGGTACCGTTGGCGGCTGCTAGGGTGTTGTTATGCGGTTGCTAGGGTACTTGGGGTGGTTGCTAAGGTGTTGCTAGGCTACCCGGAGTGGTTGCTAGGGTGTTGCTTTGGGATTGCTAGGGTACTGAGGGTGGTTGCTAGGTTGATTTGGCTAGTTGCTAGAGTGTTGCTATAAAGATAGATAGATAGATAGATAGATAGATAGATAGATAGATAGATAGATAGTCTTGGCTCATTTGAACATTCCATCAATGCAAGTCTATGGGATTTTTATGATTTTTAATCTTCATTTTTAAGAAAACCGTTAGTCCGATCAGTTAGAAAAGATATAGCACACTAAGTGAGATCAGTCTGAAGAGCATAATCTTAGCCACCATGTTAAGTCTGTGTCTTAAGAACTAGTTTGACCAACTAGCAGTTGCCAAGGGGTAATCAGTCTTCCTTTTCCAATACAAATAAGAACAATCTACCTTTTCATGACTGAATTAAAAAAAGTTATGACCAGTCTTGAAGAAAAAAAATTAGATGACTAACTTTTTAAGACTAGTCTAAACAGTTCATGCAACCGGCCCCTGGGCTGAGTTTGGAGTTTGTAGAGTTAAAGCTCTAGGAGGAGTTAGAGTCAGAAATTTTAGTCTCAGAATAATAATAATAATAATAACTGTACGTTTAAGTCGGATTTCAGTAAGTTGGCTTTCTCAAGCCAACTTAATAACAATTGGTTATTTTTTCGTTCTGAGTTTGAAATCAAATCCAAGAGTTCATCTTAAATTACTATGCAACTGTACAGTATCTGCATGTACACATAACATTCTCAATACAAATATGTGTCTGTTTTAATCCTTGTTTTCTGGCATCTGAGATGCACCATCTGCGCAGGATATTTAGTCTCACACATGCCACAATGAGAGGGAGATTGGGACACCGACAGTGAAGGAGAACAAGAAAAAAACTACAGCAAACAAGTCTGTGGAGAAAGCAGCTCACGTAATTCCTTCAGGAATTATTTTTTGGGACGCCACCTTAATATGAAACTGAGGTGTTTATCTGATCTCTGACACCAAGACAACATTAATCAAGCAAAGTCTCCTCTCTGCATGTCGCAGAAGTCAGTAAGGGATGATACAGTTGCAAATTCAATATTTTTTTCCAATTTTAATGGACCCAATGGACGTAAGCCAGCAAAATAATGTAATTTATTAAAGCACTATCTAATCTTTTACACCGTTCAGAAGCCAAAATCTTGTCTAGAGCTCTTCAGGCAGTATGAAAACACAGATCATGATTTAAAGCACTTACTATGATATAGTCTACACTAAAGTCTACTAAGGCTGCACTGCTCAGTCTTTATCCTGACTATGACTCATGAGGATAGAACCATAACCTTCACCTAAATAATTTCAGTTGATCAACAGCTTAACAGGGTTTGACTGGCACTAAACCGCTGACCTACTTTGCTATTATGAATTAAACACATTATAATATTAACGTATGTAAATATTGTTAATTATATATATATATATATAAAACGTGCGTAAGTATAAATGGACACGGTGATGGAAAAATATGAGAGGGAAAATTATATTTTCAAGGTTTTGCGTTTGCATGCAAAACATTTGCCTTATCTTGTAAGATAAAGAAAGAGAAAGAGAGGGAGGTAAGATGGAAGTAGCAATATGTTTAATATTTGACAACATTTTAAACTAATGATAATATATCCAGTGATACAAACTACTCTACTTTTTTTTCCTCAAATATGGTCGTTTTGAATTGAAAACATGATATAATTTCTTAACTGAGTGTGACGAAACAAGAAACGTTTAACGTTAGCGTTTTCTTCATAATTAGGCATACAGATGAAAGTCAAAATGATTACTTCTCAAGTATAATTGCATTTTTCCTCCCATGTCATATCTTTTCTCTCACCATGTCCCCTTATATGGAGGACGAAACCTGCAAAAACAATAAATAAATAAATACACAAATAAATAAATAAATAAATAAATATGCAAATAAATTAATGTGTGTATAAATACACAAATTCTTGTTTAAATACATATAGAAATAATTAAACGTGATTAAAGTAGGCAAATAAAAAAAATTAATTGGTGGGCAAATGGAAAATGTTTAACTGGTAATTACTTATTGCAAATAGTGGCAATTATCTGCACCTCAGTATTGTAGTACATTATAAAACAGTATGCAATAATAACTTATTGAGTGTAAATTTTAATTTTAATTCAAATTATTAAATGGATGCCATGCCACCTTATTGGGACAAAAGCCCTCCCTACACCTACCAACCCTACCCGATACTTTATTTTCAACTTTTTGATTATTTCCTTCATTTTTATTAAAAATAAATGCTTTTCTGATGTGATTTGAAATTTGAAAAGGGAGAAAAAAAGTTCGCCAAAAGGCAGATGGGTCGACATACGCTTTACCATCTGCGCCACTGAATCTGTCGAATGATGATCTAATGTTGACTAGCCCAATCACACGTTGGTGGGAGTAATTAGTGTAAATAGCCTTTGCCAACAAGGCGGGCTATTTGCACTTAGTGTAAATAGACACTCTGATTTTTTTTTTTTATTCCCAACAGTTAAACAGTTGCCCACAGAAAAAAACACTTCTATGGAGGACGAAACCTGCAAAAACAATAAATAAATAAATACACAAATAAATAAATAAATATGCAAATAAATTAATGTGTGTATAAATACACAAATTCTTGTTTAAATACATATAGAAATAATTAAACGTGATTAAAGTAGGCAAATAAAAAAAATTAATTGGTGGGCAAATGGAAAATGTTTAAGGAAATGCTAAACTCATCCTATTTATTTTCCTTTGATCACTCATTTATTTCTGAATGTAGTTCCACATTTATTTTTCCTCTGCACAACATGCTAATGAGAGGGTGTCAACCATGGACTTGGTCGGGGTCATGTCATAGCTGGGGGCGCAGCATGGGGAAAACAATCCTTTCCCGCTGACAGGAAATGCATGTTAATCCAGTATGGCCTACGTAAAGTCACTTTTTCCGTTCAACAGAGCAAGATACATAAAAAACTGAGCTGTATTGTCCGTACAGTATCTGTGACTTTACAAACGACCCAACGAAATGGCCAGTTTCGTTTCCTGACGTCATTTTTTGTAACCCGATTGAGTTTCCAGCTAGAGACAACTGTAATATCAGCATCCCATGGTCATCGTGAGATTATTCACTTTATCCGTGGAATAAGGGCTCGTTCTTTTGATGGCAGCTAGTGTTTATTAGGATGGTTTTACCTGCTCGTTGTTTAGGTACGTGTAAGATCATTTTTATGGTCAGTAAACAGTCTTCTACAACCAAGTCGATCTGCAGCAATCTCGCTCTCTTTATGGCGGGAGAACCAAGTTAGTGACATACACAAGGGTACATCTCAGTTGATCTTTACATTGGCCACTTAAAAATCTTTTATGATTTAGCTCTCTCATGATTATAACTACAAAACTAACCCTATGAAAAAGTGTAAGATAATAAAATAATCAGTCACCTTGACTGATGAAGTTAATACGCATGCGCAGGCAAACGCTCAAGCGTGTCATACACGATCAGCCTATTCTTGCATAATTGACACCCTCTCGTTAGCATGTTGCGCAGAGGAGGGAAAAAAAGTGGAACTACATTCAGGAAATAAATGAGTGATCAAAGGAAAATAGTTAGGATGAGTTTTGCATTTCCTTAAACATTTTCCATTTGCCCACCAATTTATTTTATTTATTTGCCTACTTTCTTCACATGTTTAATTATTTATTTATGTATTTAAACAAGAATACGTGTATTTATGCACACATTTATTTATTTATTTGTGTATTTATTTATTGTTTTTGCAGGTTTCGTCCTCCATACCCTTAAGGGCTCCGAAGTTTGAACCTACAATCTTTCAGTTACCAGCCCAGATGTTTTAAGTACTACAACACACCACCCATACATGCAGACTAAAGCTGACTCACCCTGGTACAGCTGAATGAGAGGACTGTGGATGGAGGGATGGATGAGACCTTCAGGTAGATCCCTCAAGAACTTTTTCAGTAAACTGGCTACAGCACAGGCGTCTGCATCCTGATGAAGATCCACCTCTTCTCCACCATCAAACCTCTGCCGCAGGTTATCCACAGTCCGGACGCTGCCGTTTACTCTGAACAGACCCTCCAGACGAAGACCTGGCAGATCGTGGCACCATGAGAGAGACATGAAGCTCTGTAAGTCCGTTTGTAGTTAAAACTAACAACATTTCAGGGTTTCAGCACGTAGTTATGCCACTCTCTTAGCTCAATTGCCTAACTAACTAATCTTTTTTTAAAAATCTGAGAAGATACTTGATGAACGCCATAAAATCTACAGAAAAATCAAGCTCAAGTAAAATACTTGCACACTTGTTTCGTGCTGACATGTCAAAGGCCCAGTAAAGTGATTTTCTTCTCTAAAGGGTTATAGCACCATCCAGAGGAAAACAAGTACAACTGCAGCTTCTGGGATAAAGATTTGCAGAGTACAGGATGTACTACAGTTTGGAACAAATATGGTAATAAACAATAATGTTCAGTGAATTCTAGTCTTTAAGTATTGAAAGTTGATTTAATGGGAAAATTCTAACACAAGTGATGTTATTTGTCAATAGGAAGTGAAATTAATATATAATATATTTTGAACAGTATTGTTATGTAAAATAATATTGTTTTCTATTTCATCCTTGCAGTTTTGTCATGTTGTTGTCAATCACAGTTCTTTACTAACAAATTAGTTTTAGAGGACAGAGGTGGGCTTGTGTAGGAAGAAAAACTTTTTTGGTACATTTTGTACATTTATAGTGCTTTTTATTATCTTTTGTGTTTTCAAATAATAATGCTTCCTAAAATACATTTTTTTAATTTTTTACTGACTGTATAATGGTAAACTTGGTATTTTTACCGTAAATAAATAAATATTACAGAATCTTTTGCAGAAATACGATTAGAAATCATGCTGCTACTTGAGTGCACACATCTTTCCTTTTTTATTTGGTTTGACCTTGATCCGGTACCCAGTTACCTAATTGTAATAGTCACAGCTTGGTCTTTGTTAGCTAAAGGCTTGGAGCCATTCACTAAAGTAGTAAAAGCTGTGATTTTATGTTCTTAGACAACATGTACTATTGGCAGGTAGAAAAACACACTGCTTGCCAGTTCATTCACTTCAGCCAACATAGTCAGAGTGCACTGAGTGAACCCACAGTATTCTTCAAAAGGAGCACACACACACACACACACAAAAAGAGAAAATGCAATTGATTTGAAAAAGTTTGAACTTTGAAGTTCATGTATAAGAAAATGCATGTATAAGAATTAAAATAAATAGGAAAAAGTTTTAGATAAACTAAAAAACATTTTACTATTTTTTTCATGACTACAAAAAATATTTGTATTTTAAAAATGTAAAGTAAGGCAATTAAAATTATATAAAAATATTTAAATAAATGTTGACTAGTCACAGCACCTAAAATACAGAAATATAAGTTATAGATTTATAAATGGAATTTAAATTTAAATTATTGTATTTTATTTTTTAATTATTTTATTTATATTAAGTAAAAAACATGTCATGTCAAAATAAAAATAGAAAGCAAAACAGAAAAAAGAATAATATTATATTATAATATAATATGTTATGGTATATTCTATCTGTTTGCCCTGGAATCGTTCCCTATAAAGTTCAAAAGGGCTAAACAAAGTATTCTGCTATTTGTTACTATAACATTTGCCGCACCTCTGAAAACAATCATAAATCATAAATTGCCCAGTAACTCTTAATCCTGTATCAGTCAACTGATGATTTCTTCCTTGTGAAAATGCAGTAGGCCAGGATGTGATGTGCTGTTAGTTGCTTAAAGCATTATAATGGTTCACCAAAGAAATACTCAGGTTACTTTTAATTCTTTATCATTGTCCCCACCCCAGATCAGATTTCTCACACCAACCGCGATCAGGTCTAACACGTGAGCTGAGAGCAACATTTACCATGCTTTTCCAGATACTCCACCATGCTCCGGACCACCACAGGAACCCCGTCCTTGACAAGTCCCAGACCTCTCAACTCCAGCAGGGACACGCCGAAGATCTTCTTCCCCGCTGTGGCGGTGGCCGGAGAGGCTTTGATCATGGGCAGCTGCACCATCCTCTTCATGTCCTCCTTTATCTGAACAGCTGCCTTGTTGTGCTTGGAAAAGCAGAAGAGAAAGGAGCAGTCAACCACATCCACCGTTCTGACCGTCTGCATCTTGAAGACCCCTAGTCCATATCACCCTTTATATCAGAGACTTTTCCCACTGCCGGTGTAAGTGGATCTGTCAGTGGCAGAAAACAGAAGGGAGGGAGTCTAGCGTGTGTGTGTGTCTACGTCAGGAGAGGTTGCCATGCACCTGTAACCAGGTGAGAGGAAACACACTCAAGCTGACAGTATATCAAACTCAGCTGTGCCTAGAGAACAGGGCTTGTTACGGATTAGAGGAAGAAAGCTTTGAATGTTATGCATTCAGGAAGTTATACTGATATGGTGAACAAATATTTACAATATGTAAATATTTTCTTTCATGAAAACTACAATAAATTGAAGCTAAACTGGGAAGAGGTTTATTAGGTATTACACCCAAAGTATAAGCAGTGTTATTTTACTCGTTAATATATTATTGTAGTTTTTGTTAATATTTTGAATTAAGTTGTATTTATTAGGTTACATGTTTTTTTATGTATATATAGATTTTATTAAGTTTTAGTTTATAGTTTGTTCATATTATATTATATAATATTTATATACAGAGAAATAAAAAACATGATTTTTTTTTTAAACAAAAGTTATCTGGTAACCATTAGCATGCTAAAAATGATGGGGAAAACTAAATTAAACTGATATTTATTTGTCATTTTAAATTATTATTATTTACAATTTATTTTATTGATCATTAAAAAAAAATACATATTTTAATAGTTTTCAAAACATAGATTGATAAGTAATATGATGGACAATAGTAAATTTTAATTTAGCAGAGAGTATGTTTACCATTGTAAATTGTTAAAGGGTTATGTAATATTTTTTTTATATTTATATAATATTTTACAACTCTTAAATCAGCCTAAGACTGGAGACCTAGATCAGCTTAAATTAGCTAAAACCAGCAAACCATTTTAGGCTAGTTTGAGATTTTTGAGCAAGGCTGCATGTACATATAATATCTTTCTGCAGTAATTTTTTTAATGCAATAAACGTATTCAGTTGCATCGTGGAAAAGAGTTTATGCAGACACTATTTTAACAAAAAAGCATTTTTTCATTGAAGATCTTAAAGTAACATCCATCAAAATTAATTCTGTGTGTTGTCACAATCACAGAGATACACAGCATCTTTCTAAATGAAGGAAAGAACACAAGAATGGATTATATTCAGAGGCTGTACTTCAGTAAATGAGAAGATTGCCTGCTCATTCTGTTCTCTACAGTCTATTATGTGAGCATCTTCTAATTGGGTGTTCTGTACGAAATGTCCTTTTTCAGCAGTGCATGACCCAGGCCACATTGTAAACACGTTTATCCTATAGCCTATGCATAATCAGCTCAAATACCAATAGTAGGAGTACCATACAGTATAAGTGCATTTATTTTTGAAGGCATGACAGCATAATCTGAGCTGAATCAATGGTGATCTGCTTCAGTGTCACTTCACAAACACAAACTGAGGCCTAATTTGCTTCATAATCAGTGAGATTTTTTAAATGTTTTTAACAGAAATGCCCATTAACGCTGCATTTATTTAATTAAAAATACTGTTAAAAACAGTAATATTGTGAAATATTATTACAATTTAAAAGAACTGTTTTCTATTTGAATATATTTTAAAATGTAATTATTTCTGACCGTCTGCATCTTGAAGACCCCTAGTCCATATCACCCTTTATATCAGAGACTTTTCCCACTGCCGGTGTAAGTGGATCTGTCAGTGGCAGAAAACAGAAGGGAGGGAGTCTAGCGTGTGTGTGTGTCTACGTCAGGAGAGGTTGCCATGCACCTGTAACCAGGTGAGAGGAAACACACTCAAGCTGACAGTATATCAAACTCAGCTGTGCCTAGAGAACAGGGCTTGTTACGGATTAGAGGAAGAAAGCTTTGAATGTTATGCATTCAGGAAGTTATACTGATATGGTGAACAAATATTTACAATATGTAAATATTTTCTTTCATGAAAACTACAATAAATTGAAGCTAAACTGGGAAGAGGTTTATTAGGTATTACACCCAAAGTATAAGCAGTGTTATTTTATTGTTAATATATTATTGTAGTTATTAAGTTGTATTTATTAGGTTACATGTTTTTTTATGTATATATAGATTTTATTAAGTTTTAGTTTATAGTTTGTTCATATTATATTATATAATATTTATATACAGAGAAATAAAAAACATGATTTTTTTTTTTAAACAAAAGTTATCTGGTAACCGTTAGCATGCTAAAAATGATGGGAAAAACTAAATTAAACTGATATTTATTTGTCATTTTAAATTATTATTATTTACAATTTATTTTCTTTCCGACACACCGCGCCTGCCAGGAACTCTCCCATCTTACTGGCGGATTGCTCTGAACATAGGGAAAAACTGCAGATTAGGAGCTATAAATTGTTACTTTTAAATCAATATTTATTAATTATTAAAGTATAGCTATTATATTATTATAATATATGATTCAATATCATTTTAAGTTTGGGGTAAGTAGGATTTTTCTAATGTTCTTGAAAGAAGTCTCTTATGCTCACCAAAGTTGAATTTATCTGGTCAAAAACGACAGTAAAAACTGTAATATTGTGAAACGTTATTACACTTTAAAATAAATTTAAAATAATTATTTTATCAATTTTAATTCTGAATATATTTTAAACTGTAATTTTTTGATGCAAAGCAGAAATTTCAGCATCATTACTCCAGTCTTCAGTGTCACATGATCCTTCAGAAATCATTCCAATATGCTGATTTACCGCTCAAGAAACATTTCTGATTATCAATGTTAAAAACAGTTTTTGCTGAATAAAAGTATACATTTCTTTAAAATAATAGTGATGACTAATTATTAGCATAGAAGCTTTATATCTGAATATTCTTGCTAAAGTCTCTAGCATTTTGCTCCTCAAGTAGTTATTAAGAACATAAGCCTGTCTGAGCTACTCATGAGAGACCAACAGGAACAGATGTCCATGAAATCACCCCAACCCCACACAGGGTCCTCACAACACTTCATATGTGAAGAGCCAAGCGTTAGCATACAGTCATGCTATTCAGTCAATGAGAGTAATAGAAAACTTTGTGCTGCAAGTTTCCATTACAGGTTCAGACAAAGTCCTAATCACTTAATGACACCCCCCTGCTTTGACTCTTTTGGGAAGTCAATGGATCTTCAAACCCTCCACCTTAGACTGGAAAATACACCTCAGTGAACCCTCATATCACATGAGATCCTTTATTATTTCTAGCTGAAGAGTTTAGATAAGTTAGCTCAAAAACTAAACTAAACGTTTAGGGCCAGTAATTTTTAAATTGATCAAAAGTGACAGTAGAGACATTTATACTATTTTCCTAATTAATGCTGTACAGTTGCTTTGACACAATCTGCATTGTGAAAAGCGCTATATAAATAAAGGTTGACTTATAATGTTACAGAAGATGTCAAAGAAATGCTGTTCTTTTGAACCTTCTGTTCATCAAAGAATCTTGAAAAATTGTATCAGTTTCCAAAAAATGCTGTTTTCAACATTGCTGAAATGTTTCTTGAGCAGCAAAATAATATTAGAGTGATTTCTGAAGGATCATGTGACACTGAAGACTGGAGTAATTATACTGAAAATTCAGCTTTGCATCACACGAATAAATTACATTTACAATATATTCACATAGAAAACAGCTGTGTTTTTGCTGTATTTTTGATCAAATAAATGCAGTCTTGATGAGCATAAGAGACTTTAAAACATTGACAAAAATCATAACAGCCCCAAACTTTGCTACAAAAGCTAGGATATATAATGCAGGTTTTAACTCCATCTCTGTTGGGTAAAAAAGCGAGTCTCAGCATGTTCATTCATATCTCACGCATGCGCGCACACATGCTGTGTGTGGTCCTGACAGCAACTGGTTGTAGCAGCACATGCTAGCAACAGCTGCAGATCCTCTCTGCTATTATAGAAACACAAGCACATAGTTTACAACACTAACACTCTGAAAAATGTGCAAAAATTGTATCTTTAGGGATACAACAGCTTGTCACTGGGGCAGTTCTGATAAGGGACGACTTTGTACCTTATTTAACCCTAAAAGGTGCATATTAGTACCCTAGAGCAGTGCTTCCCAACCTTTTTTTAGTTGCGGCACCCTTTGGAAATTTTAACAAACTTGTGGCACCCTACAAAATAAATTTTGTCACAGTATTTGAATTTCTAACTTCGATATGAAAAGTATAGATATTCGGTACAACAGGGAAGAACTGCAGAATATAATGTCATACAGATATTTTTAATATTATAAAAAAAAATTTGTCCATCAATGGTGGCAATCAGTAGGCTAATTTCTAATGAAGAGA